AGGTTCTGGTGAGACCTGCTGGTATGGGGAGGGTTACTGAGATAACATCTCATGTCCAGGATGGACCAGCAGTGTCCCCGAGGCTGGTGGGGAAGCCCAACCTGTGGCCCCTGCAACTGTGATGTTCACAAGGGCTTTGACCCCAACTGCAACAAGACAAATGGGCAGTGTCACTGCAAGGTTTGCTTGATCCTGATCCCTGACCTTTTAACCCTTCTTCAGACATCATTTATGACTCTTGATAGCCTGCTGATCTTTGCCATTTGACATGGGCTCTAACCTCTCACCTGCGTCCAGTTGTGATCTCTCATCCTTAAGCACTAACCCCTTCTCTCACTTTATTTGAGGCCAGTCTTCCTTCTGGCCTTTAAGCCCTGTTCTCCTTACCCTTGTCCCTTGATTCCACTTGTTCCCCAAGCCTTCACCTGAGACCCTTACCTTAAGCCCTGACCTCTGACTTCAGGCCCCTGACCCATCCTTGAACAGGAGTTCCACTACCGACCACGGGGCAGTGACTCATGCCTCCCTTGTGACTGCTACCCTGTGGGCTCCACCTCGCGCTCATGTGCACCCCACAGTGGGCAGTGTCCCTGCCGCCCAGGAGCCCTTGGCCGCCAGTGCAACAGCTGTGATAGTCCCTTTGCAGAGGTGACTGCCAGTGGCTGCCGAGGTGAGAAAGTTCTACCCAGCTTCTCCTATCAAGGGCTGGGTCCTTATGATGAATGTGAGTTTAGTGGAAAATAAGACACCAGTTTTAGTTAAAAAGAAAAAATGGCTGATGTCACTCGTGGTCATTGAGAGGGATATTTTTGCTCCTGGGGTAGATGGAAGGGATGTAAGGGTGAGGGCTTTTCCTGAAGATCAGTTATATCCAGGACACCCCACAATTACCCCTCAGGGATGGGCTAGCTTCTGAGAAACCAGCCAGGAAGTGGTGGGCAGTGGGCCTGTGGTAGGTGACAGAGGGACAGTAGAGGTTGCCATCACTTGCCTGGCAACTTGGTTTAGAGTTCCCTCTCTCTCTAGTGCTTTATGATGCCTGTCCTAAGTCCCTGAAATCTGGTGTGTGGTGGCCCCAGACAAAGTTTGGTGTCTTGGCCACAGTCCCCTGTCCTCGGGGGGCCCACGGTGAGTCTATGGGGTACAGGGATGCCACTGAGGGTGGGGGCTGGGCCTGTGTTTTGACTGCTGGAGCTACTTTCTTTTCCCAAGTTGGGTGCCTTATACATGTAACGAAGTGGGAGTGGGAGTCTGTGTGGGTTCCTCACTACCTCCTAGGGGATCTGGGTCTCTCTACACCTCCCTACACTCTCATTAAGACTCCATCTGTTTCTCTTGGCTTCTGGGCAGGATTGCGGGGTGCAGGTAAGGGGTACGTGTTTGCTCAGGTGCGCTGCCCCTCCCACTGCCAGAGCTTTTGCAGATCCTTCCTGCTTCTTAAGTTCCCTGCAGACCCCTCTCCACTGCCTGAGGTCTCTCAGTGAATTCCAGCTGCCTTAAATCCCTTGAGGCCCCTGTGTGCTGTCTGAGGACTCCAGAGTCCCTTCTCAGAGGCCTGAGGTCCTTTGAGAGTTACCCCCTGGCCCCCCTGTGCCTTTCCATACTTCCTGAGACTTGTAGAACCTACCCCAATTCTTGAGATTCCTGCAAGATTTTCCCCACTTTCTGAGTTTCCTGAAGGCCTTTCCCTACTGACTGAAGTCACAAAGACCCTACCCCTTTGCCTGAGGACTCCAGCTTGCCCTGCTGCTTTTGGGCCCCTCAGAACTCTCCCTGCTGCCTGAGGTCTTTGCAATGGCTGATGGAGATTGCCCATGTGTGCATGCTCATGTGTGTGTCTTTCTGTGACTATGCATGTGTTTATGAGTCTGTCTTGAGGGGATGGGGTTCTGTATTTAAGTTAAGGTTGTTTTTGTTGGTAGCTACAAGCTCCCTTAAAGCCATATCAATTCTCACTCAACTTCTATCCCAACCTGCCTCACTTGGGTCACTCTGGAAGACCTTGTCTGGCAGTGCGTTTGTGTGTGGATGAAGTAGCACTGTGTGACCTTGTGTCTATGTGTGTACAGCTGTGAGCATTAGCGTGTGTGATGTGTGTGCATATGTGTGTGCTTATAGTATGTGCTTGGTGGTGAGAATGGATCATAGGGCTAATAGGCCTGGGCCACTATGTCCAGGAGTCTAGCTGTGGACCTCTGTCACTCTGGCCTCTGCCTCAGGCTTTCCCCTGGGACAAGAGAGGGTGCTGTGGCCACCCATCAGCAGAGGTATCTGGGCTCTGGCCTGACCTGGGGCTGCCTGCTCCCAGGTGCTGCTGTGCGACTCTGTGATGAGGACCATGGTTGGCTGGAACCTGACCTCTTCAACTGTACCTCCCCTACCTTTCGAGAGCTTAGTCTGCTGGTGAGATTGCCCAGACCTTGACGTGTACCCAGGATTTTCCCTGGTCTCAGCATCCCCACACCTGTCGTGGCCCCCAAATAGCATACCCAACCCTTGACTTCATGGGCTTTTCCTGATTGCCCTTTTACTTGGCTAAGACTTTCTCCCTTTAAGCCTTTTTAAAAAGGCCTGTGAGACCAACAAGTAATTACTGCCATCCTTGTCCTGGCAGCTGGATGGCCTAGAGCAGAACAGGATTGCACTGGACACTGTGGAAGCCAAGAAGTTGGCCCAGCGACTGCGGGAGGTGACTGGCCACACTGACTACTACTTCAGTCAAGATGTTCGAGTCACTGCTCGCCTGCTGGCCTACCTGCTGGCCTTTGAGAACCATCAGGAGGGTTTTGGGCTGACAGCTACACAAGACGCCCACTTCAATGAGGTGGGCCTATGCCTATGTTCCTGAGTCCCTGGCCCTGACTCCTAGCCCCTGTCCCGATCCTCAGACCCCAGCCCCAGATCCCCAGTTTAGATCCCTCCCAACTGCAGCCCTGGGCTTTTCCTCTTCCCATGGCCTCTGTCTCCATCCTCTTAAGGTTGGGGCCCCTCCGAGCACCTGGCCAGACCCCTCATGCCTGCTTTGCCCCCTTATGCATGTTCCTCACTGAGTTGAGCAAAACTCCATCTCCATCCTCCCAGAATCTGCTGTGGGCCGGCTCTGCACTGCTTGCTCCAGAGACAGGGGACTTGTGGGCAGCACTTGGGCAGCGGGCCCCTGGGGGCTCCCCAGGCAGCGCGGGGCTGGTGCAGCATCTGGAGGAATATGCGGCTACACTTGCAAGAAATATGGAGCTCACATACCTGAACCCTGTGGGGCTGGTGACACCCAATATCAGTGCGTGGTGGGTGGGCGGGGCAGGGTAGGGGCTGCAGGAGGACCTAGGGATCCAGGGGACAGGAGCTGCTAATGTAGGAAGCTGTGCTACTGCCCTCCGCACTTGTGGGATAGGCACTGCACTGGCAGTGAGCACAGTGAAAGTTGGGTACAGGATGGGGGTAGCTGGGAATGGGACCTTTAGTGTGGAGAGAGGGTCCTTGATAGGTGTCACTTTCTTTCTCCTGGGCAGTGCTCAGTATTGACCGTATGGAGCACCCCAGCTCCACCCAAGCAACCCGTCGATATCCCCGCTACCACAGCAACCTTTTTCGGGGACAGGATGCCTGGGATCCTCATACTCATGTTCTGCTGCCTTCCCAGTCCCCACGGCCACCCTTGTCTGAAGGTGGGAGCTTTTGGGTGGCCTGTGGATCAGGTCCTGTCTCCCTGTTCTCCCCAAGTCAGATACCACACCATCTTCTTGCCAATTCTCCCCACCTCACACCTTGCCACACCCCTACCTTGCCAGATCCCCTCCCTCATGACAGCTGACTCTTCCTAGGCCTTGCATGTCCCCTTCCTGGATCCCTGCTCCCCCAACTGTCCAGCTCTTGAGAAGCTTGATTCTGGGGTGGGTTCAGAGGTAGGTGTGTGGATACTCAGGGTAAGAGGTAGGTGTGTGGATACTGACAGTGCCCCTCCTCTCCCTGGCAGTTCTGCCCACTGGCAGCAGCATGGAAAACTCTACTTCTTCAAGTGCAGTCCCTCCACCAGCACCCCCAGAGCCACAGCCTGAGTCTTCAGTCTCCATTGTCATTCTCCTTGTGTATCGCACCTTGGGAGGCCTTCTCCCTGCCCAGTTCCAGGCTGAGCGCCGGGGCACCAGGTACTCTAAGGCATCTCACTCCTGAGCTTCCTCTGAGCTTCTGCCCAGCTAGCTCTTCCATTTTTGGTGAGCAGATATTTAGGTTCGCAGATATTTAGGTTCACAGATATATGATGTGCTGCTGCACACAGCTCCAGGGAACCTATGCAAGATGGATTCCAAGTGAATGTTTTCTGGAGCTGTACAGGGTAGCTGTGATGCAGGTTGACAGCCATTTAGTGATAGGTGGGGCCATAAAACACAGAGGGGTATGTGAGCCAGATACAGGCAGACCAAGTGGCTGATAGAGACAGAGACCAAGTGATCAATGCATATCAGATAAGAGCAGGAGGGGATGTTTGAGGTTAGTAGTCACAGACAGTGGAGCTATTCAGGCCTCCAGACCCAGGCTGGGCAGGGAGGCCACACCTTCTGGCACCAGTGGAGGCTCAAGATATTCTCAGAAATAGCACTGTTTTGGGAGCGTCCCAGGCCCTGGGTCAGCTGTGGCAAGTGATTCAAAGGCAAAGTGAAATGGGCAGTCAGAGAGTGCAGAGGCCAGCAGCATCCAAATCCAGATGGGTGTCTTCTCAGGCTTCCTCAGAACCCTGTTATGAACTCCCCGGTGGTCAGTGTGGCTGTATTTCATGGACACAACTTCCTAAGGGGTGTCCTGGAGTCCCCGATCAACCTTGAGTTTCACCTGCTACAAACAGCGAACAGGAGCAAGGCGATCTGCGTGCAGTGGGACCCACCTGGCCCGTAAGGAAACCCTTTGTCCCTGTTAGCCTCTGGAAATCTGACCAAAAGCCCCTACTTGCCCCAAGGCCCCTTCCTGTGCTGCTGTGCAGCTAAACCCGTGAGGGATGATGTTTCCCACCTCCAGGCTCCTACAGCCCTTCCTGCCATCTCCTACTCCCGCATGGGCAGGTGGGGCTAACTGTCCTGTGGCTGCAGGGAGGACCAGCATGGGATGTGGACAGCACGGGACTGTGAACTGGTGCACAGGAATGGGTCCCATGCTCGGTGTCGCTGCAGCAGGACAGGAACTTTTGGGGTCCTTATGGACGCTTCCCCCCGTGAGGTATGTCTATATTCAGTATGTTAAGGAAATATGAGGCTGAAGGGACAGGAAAGTTCTGCCCAGCACACTATTGACCATCATCATTGTCTACACAGCGGCTGGAGGGTGACCTGGAGCTGCTGGCCGTATTTACCCATGTGGCCATGGCAGTGTCTGTGGCTGCCCTGGTGCTGACTGCAGTGGTCCTTCTGAGTCTGCGCAGCCTCAAGTCCAATGTGCGTGGGATCCATGCCAATGTGGCAGCCGCTCTAGGGGTGGCAGAGCTGCTCTTCTTACTGGGAATCTACAGAACCCACAACCAGGTACAGGGTCAAGGCCAAGTCATGTCTGTCCTGATGACCAAACTTGTCCTGCACAGCTCTGGGGCCAAAGCTGCTGAGGTTGGAGTGCTCAGATTGGGCAATGGTTTGGGGTAGGATGCTAAAGCAAGATGCTGGGGGTCAGGGGTCAAGTGGGAAGCAGTTGTTTGGCATGGGGTCAGAGGTGGGCTGAAGGCAGAGAGGTCCTGACACTCCACCACCCTGCCTTCAGCTGGTGTGCACTGTGGTCGCCATCCTCCTGCACTACTTCTTCCTCAGCACCTTTGCATGGCTCCTGGTGCAGGGCCTGCACCTCTACCGCATGCAGGTTGAGCCACGCAACGTGGACCGTGGTGCCATGCGTTTCTACCATGCCCTGGGCTGGGGCGTCCCTGCTGTGCTGCTGGGTGAGGCCCCACCCTTGGCCCATTTAAGGCTGTGACTCCCAGCCTCTGTCCATCCAATAGCCTGACTCCTGACTGTGTCCCCACTCCTGATTACCACCCCTATCCTCAGCTTCCATGCCATCTACTTGGGGAGGAGCCTGCTAACCCTCCCCCAGCTTCTCCCCATGCATTTGGCTCAGCAGCTCTAGGACACACCCCTTCTTTCCCAAGGCCTTGCTGTTGGCCTGGACCCTGAGGGTTATGGGAACCCTGACTTCTGCTGGATCTCCATCCACGATCCCCTCATCTGGAGTTTTGCCAGTCCTGTTGTCCTTGTGATAGTGGTGAGTGCTGGGCATGTGGTGCTACCCGTGTGCCTTCTCTTGGGGAGAAGAGAAAGCTTGCAGCAAGCATCGTAGAGATCTGCTGAGCATCCGCAGCCTTGCTGAGCTGCCTCCACTTCTGTTGTCTGGTCACAGAGTTACTCCTTGCTGCTTAGCCGGCATGGAGACGGGGGCATAGGTCAGAGATGCAGCAACTTCCCCTGCCTCTCTGACTCTGTATTACTTTCTGGTTCTCTGACTATTCCTGTGATTCCAGGTTTCTCTCTCGGTTTCTGGGGTGTGTGTGTATGCACACGTGCGTTCGCATGTAGGAGAGAGGAAGAATGTTTCACTTGTTTTGCTTCTGTGCAGTCTTGGTCTCTGATCCTGTCTCTGTGTCTCTCACTATCCCTGTCTCTCTGTCTTGCGCTGCCCTACCCGGCCCCCCACGGCTGCCATGGGTCTAGATGAATGGGACTATGTTTCTCCTTGCTGCCCGCACATCCTGCTCCACTGGGCAGAGGGAGGCCAAGAAGACCCCTGTGCTGTGAGTTCACTGGCTGGGGGATGCTGTGGGGTTGGGGTTCCCAGTAGGCAGACCCATCCTAGTTGTGGTCCAGACCACCCAGAGCACCCTTGGTGAAGTTTCTATGAAGGGATGAAGTTACATCTGCCCTACCCATGGCCCCTCTCTGGTGTCCTTGCCATATTCTGGCCCCACACCTGCTTCCACTCTGCTGTCGCCTTGTCCCCTAGGTCTCCCCAGTTTCCTGTAGCCTGGGTGGCTCACTTTGCCCCCTGCCCCATGTGTCCCCCACCTATCTTCTGTGTTTCCTCCTCTCATGGCCTTCCTACTCCTTTGTTTTCCCCGTCTCCTCTTATGCTCCGAGTGTACTCCTGGGTCTTTGTGTGACTGCTTATCTCCCCAGTATTCTCCTGAGTATCCTCCCGTCTTCTTCTGTTAGCCCCCATGTCCTCCCATGTCCCGTGTGAGCCCTGCCTGACCCTCGTGTGTCCTCCAGTGTCCTCCCATGTCCTCTCGGCAGGACCCTTCGCAGCTCCTTTCTGCTGCTTCTGCTGGTCAGTGCCTCCTGGCTTTTTGGCCTCCTGGCTGTCAATCACAGCATCCTGGCCTTCCACTACCTCCACGCTGGACTCTGTGGCCTCCAGGTACTGCTGGTGCCCTTTCCTACTGCTTCCCCCACCCCTACCCTGGCCGGGCTCCAGCAGGCCATTCTCAGTTCAGGCTGGTTGCTAATGCCAGACCAGTCGGTGGCCTTAGTTGACCGCAGGCCTGCAGCTGACTCTCAGTGGGACCCTGGCTAGTTGGGCTGTGTGTGGATGGCTCCTGGCCCCTTGCTGAGCTGCAGACTGTCACTGACTCCATTCACTTCTGCTGCGTAGACTTTACTGCCCCTGCTGACTTGTCCGGACCTCCCTGCCTCCCCTTTGTTTTTTTCTTTTTCTAGTACTAGGGATTGAGCTCAGGGCCTCCTTCATTTTATTTTCTTTTTGAGATAGTTTTGCTATGCAGTTTAACTAGCAGCATTCCTCATGCCTCAGCCTCCTGAATATCAACATGCCTGGCAGGGTCTCCTTTATACTGGGTTAAATCCCCAGGCCTTTTTATTTTTATTTTTTTACTTTGAGACAGGATCTTGCAAAGTAGCTAAGTTGGTCAGGGTGGGCTTAAATTTCTGATCCTCTGTCTCAGGCTCCTACCTTCCAGAGCGCTGGGATTACAAGTGTGGGCCACCACGCCTGGCTTCCAAATCCCTTTCTGTCCCACTCTGACTCCCCATTGATTCTCACTAATCTGTAGTGGCTGACAGGGGCATCCACCAGCCCCAACGAATCCCCTGATGACCCTGAATTTTTGAACTTCTTTCATTCTGATCTCTAAGCTCTCTTCACTGACATCACACTGACCCTTGCTGACCCACAGGGCCTGGCAGTGCTCCTGCTCTTCTGTGTCCTGAATGCAGATGCTCGGGCTGCCTGGACACCAGCCTGTCTGGGCAAGAAGGCAGCACCCGAGGAGACAAGACCAGCCCCCGGGACGGTGAGGGGCTGCCAAGGCTGAGGCGTTGGGATGGGGGCCAGGGAGGCCCAGGCCTAGGGTTCCCTCAGGGCTGGCTCACAGTCCCTTTCTGCCTGCCTCGCCCAGGGGCCTGGAGCCTACAACAACACAGCCCTCTTCGAAGAGAGCGGCCTCATTCGCATCACTCTTGGTGCCTCCACCGTCTCCTCAGTGAGCAGTGCTCGCTCAGGTCGGACCCAGGACCAGGACAGCCAGCGGGGCCGCAGCTACCTCAGGTCAGTGGCTACAGATGGCTTGAGGAGTCCAGTCCTTCTCTAGGGCTTAGTGTTGCCAGACTTTAAGACTTGTGGCTCCATGCAGCTCAGTCCCTGAGGCCCTGCTGATATCCTCAGATGCTTTCCAGCTTCCACAGCACTGACTCAATCACATTCTCTTTGGTGGGGGCCTCTGTATTTCAGGGACAATGTCCTGGCTCGACATGGCTCAGCTGCTGACCACACTGACCACAGCCTCCAGGCTCATTCTGGCCCCACTGACCTGGATGTGGCCATGTTCCATCGAGATGCTGGTGGAGTTGGAGCCCTGGGTCAGGAAGGAGGGAGGCAGAGGGTCTCTCCCCAGTTCCCCTTTCTTTTGTCCCAAACTAGGAACACTGTCTGACTAGAGTGGGACAAGCTCCCCCCAGGTCACTGCCTCAGGGGCACCTACTCACCCAGCCCTAGTTCTCCCAACCTACTCCTGAGCCAGCCACTGCTGATAAGCCCAGCCCTTCTGCTCCAACCTGTACCCCACACCTCCCCTTTTCCCCGCCCAACCTCCAGCCCCTCAGTTTTAGGCCCTTTTCATATCCCCACATCCTTTGCCTCTCCAAGCTACTGTACACCTTTCTCTCTGACCTTCCCAACTCTAGGTGCAGACTCTGATTCTGACAGTGACCTCTCCTTGGAGGAAGAAAGGAGTCTGTCCATTCCATCTTCAGAAAGCGAGGACAATGGCCGGGCACGAGGGCGTTTCCAGCGTCCTCTCTGTCGAGCAGCTCAGAGTGAAAGGCTCCTCACTCACCCCAAAGGTAATGGGAGCCCTCTGACCCCCAGGGTGACCAAAATACACCTCGTGTTCTACTTAGATCTGATGCAGGGACCCCCATCTCGGCAGCCTCCATTAGGAGCCTCTGGAGTCATCACTAGGACCCCATGCTCTAACTCTGTCATGCTTTCATCTGTGCTTGGGGGACCCTGGGCAACACAGTGATGAGGTCAGAGGGATTACAAGAGGGACATGTCCTCCCTCTAGCCTCTTGGCTTCCTTGTGGGCTGGGGTTCATCTTGGTTTTCAGGACCTCTCAGCCATCACTCCTCTGTCTCCAGTCTCTGTCCACTTACAGTTAAGGATAAGGCCTTATCCTATAACCCACTTCCTGGATGGTCTTGGAGGAGACACATTTCTCTTCCTACTTCTGCTTTAGTGACAGCAGCCAAAATCTCGAGGTGGGGGGTAAGGGTCAGGGGACCCTGAGGCTGTGTCCTGGCTCCACAGATGTGGATGGCAACGACCTCCTGTCCTACTGGCCCGCTCTGGGGGAGTGCGAAGCAGGGCCCTGTGCTCTGCAGACCTGGGGTTCTGAGAGGCGCTTGGGGCTGGACACCAGCAAAGATGCAGCCAACAACAACCAGCCAGATCTGGCTCTGACCAGTGGGGATGAAACCTCCTTGGGCCGTGCCCAGCGTCAAAGGAAAGGTAGGAGCACTGACTGTTAGCTGATACTGCAGAAAGCCTGGAGGCTCTCTGTACCCTGAACTAAGCATCTCACCTCCTGACCCCAAGCCAAAAATGCCTGCTGCTTTAACCTGCTCTACCCTGATTCATCCTCTGAGGGACTGACCCAGGGAGACCTCCCCACAGTGCTCTGCCCATAGCACAGCGACCCCAAGGACCACTTCTGCACCAGCGCCTTTCCCTTTCCCACTCCCAGTCTGCTCTGGTCTGTCAGTCTCCCTCCCCCATCCTGCTTTACAGCGACCCCAGAAGGCATCCTGCACCAACACAAGAGATTTCTGCCTTTAGCTTTCCTCCTTTCCTCATAGAGACACTGGGAGCTATTGCTGTCCCAAACTTGGTGATTCCTGCCCTTTTGACCTGGGCAGGGGGTGCCCCTCTTTGGATCTCAGGGGGAGATATGTCCCCAGCCCTGCACCATGGGCTGCCCTGCCCTGAGGCAGAAGATTGCTGCATCTCTACTCTGACTCCATCCTGATGCTTCATGGAAACTTCTAAGGCTGCCTCTGTTCTTCCCTGATGGGTTTCTGCTCCCAACCCCATGATAGGGATCCCAGGGACTACCACATCCCTAGACCCAAGGAATTTCTGCCTGCCCTCACCCAACCCCTGTGCCCCACTCTGTTCCTCCCATAGGCATCCTGAAGAACCGATTGCAGTACCCATTGGTGCCACAGACCCGAGGTGCTCCTGAGCTGTCCTGGTGTCGTGCAGCCACCTTGGGTCACCGTGCTGTGCCAGCTGCCTCTTATGGTCGCATCTATGCTGGTGGGGGCACAGGCAGCTTATCACAGCCAGCCAGTCGCTACTCTTCTCGAGAACAGTTGGATGTACTCTTGCGGCGGCAGCTGAGCCGGGAGCAGCTGGAGGAGCTCCCTGCCCCTGTTCTGCACCCTATGAGCCGTCCAGGGTCCCAGGAATGCCTGGATACTGCTCCAGGCCGCCCAGAGCCCAGAGACCGGGGCAGCACGCTGCCACGGAGGCAGCCACCCCGGGACTACCCTGGTGTCATGGCCGGCCGCTTTGGGTCTCGGGACACGCTGGACTTAGGGGCACCACGAGAGTGGCTGAACACACTGCCTCCTGCCCGCCGGATTCGGGACCTTGATTCCCAGCACCCACCTCTGCCCCTATCTTCCCCGCGGCAGCTCCCAAGGGACCCCCTTTTGCCATCCCGGCCCCTGGACCCTCTGTCTAGGAGCTCGAACTCTCGGGAGCGGCTGGACCAGGGGCCTAGTCAGCACCCTTCACGAGAGGCCCTTGGACCACCCCCACCGCTGCTCAGAGCGAGGGAGGGCCCTGCCAGTGGCCCCAGCCATGGCCCCTCCACAGAGCAGCTGGACATTCTCTCCTCCATCCTCGCCTCCTTCAACTCCTCAGCCCTGTCCTCCGTGCAGTCCTCAAGTACACCCTCAGGCCCTCACACCACTGCTACACCTTCTGCCACCGCCTCTGCACTTGGGCCCTCTACGCCTCGCTCGGCCACGTCTCACAGCATCTCAGAGCTGTCGCCGGATTCCGAGTAAGCATGGCCTGGCCACTGGGCCACATCCTCATCAGCTTAGGGAACTATTCTATTTGCCCAACCCTGAGTTCCACCACCAGATGGGTGGGGGTTGGCAAACAGGTGTCAGCTGCCCCAGGCTGGAGACAGAAGGCTGGCAGGGAAATATGACCAGCAGGGACTTGGCAAGTGTGTGACTGGGACCAACCTCTTTCTCATACCTCCTAGGCTAGGGAGGGGAGATGTACTTTCCAAAGGGCTGGAGCTAGTGGTGAAGAAGACAGGAGAGGAGTCAAGGCTCAGAAGTGGGAGGTACCTGGATATTTGCAAGGGGCAGACAGGAGAGAAGAGGCTTTGCTTGGGAGTCTTTGCCTAAGTGATCATATGGGACACCAGGGTATGCCAGGGTGAAGAGCCAATCTGGAGAAGAAATCATTCATTGTGGTATGCAGTCAATATTAAGTTCTTCCTACCTATGGGCATTGTGGGATGGGACTCAGAAGCCTTGAGGTGGGACCTGACATACCCCAGGTACCTGCAAAGGGTACCTCCATGGGTAAAGGGAGGCAAACACACCCATAAGGAGCTGCATATACAGGAATCTAAGAAGAAATGCTGGCACTTGGGAGGAGGTGGACCCAGGAGTTGCCCAGGTCTTGTAAGCCAATAGGAGAGTTGCATTTCAGGCAGGGAAAAATCATTTAAATCAGACTGGGAGGGATGGGTATCTATGGAGAGAGGACTCTGGGGACAGGGCAGAGGACCAACAGGGTTGAGCAAGGCCCAGTGCTGAGAGGACAAAGAAACAAAGGCGAGGCCAGGCTTTGGGACCCTGGAGGGATGGTGAGGGGCAGGTCCCTCTGCTGCCTAGCTTGGGGGTCTGCCTCGTGGGAAGAAGGCTGGGGCCCTGAGCTGGGGTTCAGGCTCTGGAGTCACACAGATCTAAGTTTGAGTTCTGTCTGTGCTGCATGATTTGGGGAAGGGTACCAGCCTCTGCACCTCTGTTTCTCCATCTATAGAAGGGGCCTATAGTGACAAACTCTGAGATGTGGAGAGTTGAGAGACATCATTAGTCATCAGTCAAGTGCTTGCATTAGTGAAGTACTTTGAAAAGCATCTGTACATAGCAGGTGGTTTCTAAGAGACAGGACCTCAGGGGCCAAGAGCCTTTGCTAATAAGTCTAGAGCCCAGGGTAGGTGGAGGATTTAGAACCCTGGAGTGGGCATGAGGGGCCTTAGAAGTGGGGGCATCTTGGCAGTGACCTTTGATTTCTATGTTCAACACTACAGAGTTCCCAGAAGTGAGGGTCACTCCTGAGGGGCGGAAGTGCAGATGAGGAGGAGCGGCTGGGTGATGGAAGATTTGGGCTAACTGAAGAGATTCTACCAGTCACAGGCTGACCCCAGGGTGGCCTGCTGGGAGGCCCCCTCTACTGCTGCGAGGAGGTTCCATGTGCATCTGTGAACATGCATGTGACAGGTGCCAGGGTGGGGACTGAAGGGAGGACTTTTATACCTTTTGTATCTTTGTAACCAGAGAGATATGCTTATGTTATTTTTCAGCTTTTTTGTTGAGTGGGGAGAGTCTGATGCTGGGCTGGGAGGGAGAAGGGGACAAAGGGAGAGAGATGCAGAATTTGGCCTCATTTGGGTCACTAGAAAACCATGTTTTCTCTCATCTTACCCAGGTGGAGCCTATAGGTGGGACACATGCCCTCCTTTCCCTGCCCCCCTCCAAGCCCCCAGGTCAGGGCTCAAAGTATAGAATGGATTCTGCTTTTTCTAGAATGCCCTGCAGAAAGTTGTGGGGCTGTGGGTGGGTCTTGGAAACTGGGGTCCTCTGATCCCTCATAGGGGCTTGCTCATACCAGTCCTCCCTGTGGATGTCTGTGTGTTATGGGGAGTCCCTGCCACTTGCTGCCTTATACCTAGGACTGATGCTGTGGGTGCTGGCGGAGCAGCAGATGTCATGTTTACAGAGCAAGGCTTCCCTTTCTCCCTTGGGGAGGCTTGGGTGTCTACTTAGACACTCCTGCAGCGGGTAGGTGCAGGGGGTTGCTAGTGCGCCCTTGCCTCAGCAAAAGCCTGTGGTGCCATTGATTCCCTGACACTTCCCCGAGGATGGGCAAGTGGGTAAGCAAAGGGAGCAGAAATAAGGGAATCCAAGACCCCGAATGTAGGTGCCACTTTCCCCCATGTTTACAGGATCCTCCCTGGCCCTAGGCACCTGGGCTGCAGAAATGACTGCTTCCATTGCCTCCTTTATTCCCTTATAAAGGGAAGAATGACTGTTAGGACCCTGTTCACAAAACTCTTTACTTTCCTTACTTTGATGTTCAGAACTGGGGACTTTAGATTTTTGTTACTTTGTTTACAGGTACAGATATCTTAAAATGTTATATTTGTTTACAACTTAAAAGTTTGAACTTTACACTTTGTTTACAGTTGAGCACATTTCCCCCCCTTTGTTGACAAGTGAAAGATAGGAGAAATAGGAAGGGGGCTTAGAGGAGCTACCTGTGAGGAGCCTGGCCCTGGTCATCTTGAGGGGTTTCTAGCCCCCAGCTCTCCCAGGCCAGAGGTCAGCTCTGAGTTCTCTGTTTCACAGCAAACCCAGGAGGCCTGAGGAACAGTGGTTGTGTAGGGTGCAGATATCTGTACCCCATATGTACTTTTGGGAGGCAGTTTCTAAGGAGATTAAAAATTCTATTTCATTGAAATCCCACCATCCAGGACTCTAGCTCTCCTTACCCAGAATGACCCCAACCCTTGAAGGGCTGTGGGTAGGACAGCATCCTTATTATGTCCTAGGTGCTATAGAAGCCCCTCTCTGGGGTTACACCCCCCCCCCCCAGCCCAGCCACCCTCTTTCCTGTCTGTATAAATTGTTCCGTGAAGACGCGCTCTGTTTTGGGAATAAACTTCTATAGAAAATGAACGTTGTCTCCTTCTGTGGAGATGGTGGAAGGGCGGTGGTTGTGACTGACCTTTGGGAGGAACTTGAGCCTGTTGGACGTTTCAAGAACATCCAGTTATTTTTAGCCCACTTCACAAAAGATCTGGACCAGGTTCCTCTCTCTTTCACTCTGAAAGCGGCCCCTCACCTTGTGACTGGGCGCGAGGTTGGCAGCTTGGTGCTGGCAGCAGAGTGGTCAGGGGGCCTGCCTTCCAGGCGGGAAGCAGCACGCAGACTCCTCAGTGTTCAGACCCTTCAGCCCTGGTCTGGCATCTTCTTCCCAGCCCAGTCGTCAGATCAATTCTTGGAGCTGCCGCCCTTGTAGCTCCTACTTTGTCCACCAGTCGCACTGACCCGGGGATGACTAGCGTTGTTTCTCCGCAGTCCTGGAGGGACCTTCCCGGAGAGATTCTGGGCCTTGAAGCGGGAGTAGAGGACGCTCGCCCCTTCATTTCCGGCCTAGGTAGCGAGAGTTGGAGGGGACCCTTAGGGACTGTCTCGGGTCTCTGGATGCGCCACAGTAAGGGCTGGCTTCTGCTGCGTAAGGCGCGGCAGCCATCCGTGAAGCCACCGCTCGGGGGCGCTTACCGACGCTGCTGCAGCCAATCGCGAGCGAGTCCCAGGTTCCAATTCTGTAGTCCCGCCCCTCCCCTGTAGAGAGCCATTGAGGTGGGCGGGCCCGAAGGGGTTAAGCCTCCCTTCCCCGACTCACCCCTCTTGGAGACCGTGACATAGGCCGGCCACGAGTTTTGGTTGGTCCAAGCCTGCACTCCGGTCCCGGGATTGGTTCGGTAGCTCGTCACGGGGTGCTGAGGGCCTCCCGCCCGATCCGCTTTGAGCAGCGGCCGCTGGGCCGCTTGGGTGCCATGGGGCCTTCGGACGCGTCGGGGTGAGTGCGGGCTGTCCCGGCCCGAGTGTCCACTGCAGCACCTTCGGCTTGCCGCCTTGCCAGGTTCCTGCGGTTATTGGCCCATCTGTGCGGAGGGATGGGGTGGGAGCTGGCTGTGCTGGAGCCCCGACCCGAGGTGTGCAGCCGGGCCGAGAGATGTGCAGCTGGGTCGGAGATGAGCTGAGGACAGCCTCGGCCGGGTTCCGTTAGCATGAGTGAGGGCCACGCCCTGCAGGCCCGGGCCGCCTTGGGGCGGGGCTGAGGGCGAGGCTCCACCCCCAGGCGCGTGTCCCGTTTGGAGAGGGAGTCCTTAAGAAGATCTGAGTGACTCCAGGGCAGAGAGGCTCACAGATATTTGGGACACAGCAGTGCCGAGAACCCAAGGATCTTCCTCACACCTGCTCTTCTCCCCTTCCAGTTGGGACATTCTGATTAGCGACTGTTCCCAGGTGGGTGCGTGCCCCTCAGTGGAGTCCTCTCTCTCAGAGTTTCTCCCAGATCAGAATTCCCCTGACAAAAGAAAGCTTTCTTAACATGCTAGAGTCCCTGACCCTCTAGAAGACCCCGCATCTTGAGATCTTCCCAGAGGAGGCTTTCTCCCACTCTACCCCCCCACCCAGTTCAGTACTTCTCCTGGCTCTTCCCAGAACAAAGCTGTTCCCCTTCCCCCAATCTCCTGTTCCAGAAGTGTTTCTCCCCCTTCAGAGAGGAGCCCCTGGACCATGAGATTCCCCTCAGGTCAGAGATTTCTCGCATCTGCACCTTCCTGGATGGTGAAGGCTTTCCTGACAGGTCGGAATTCCCTCTAGGTGTGACTGGCCCTAAAAATCTCATTTTTTCCAGGGAAGATTTTTCCATACTTCAGGTGGGAGCTTCCCACTCCAGGAAAGACCTCCTCAGAGATGACCTAGGTGAGAGCCATCGCGTGGCTTTCCCAGACTAGGCCCCAGCTTGTCTATAACTGGAACCTTGGTGCTAGAAGGCCAGTGGTAAAACTGACCTTCTCTTAGAGGTGAGGGTCTCATCTGTGAGCCTGAGACTTGGAGAAAGTTGCTTGAAGATCTAAACCTCTGCTTTTCTGGATCCCTTCCCAGAGTATGCTCTCAGCTGGCCAGGCGGGGTTCACAGGGCAGCTGGATAAGGACTCAAGGACTGGTTCCAGGAGGGCAAGGGACCAGAAAGAGGGGGCTAGGAGAGGCAGAGAGCCTGGACCTGGACCTGGACCTGAACTCAACCCAGTACTCAGGGCTGGGCAGCCACACCTAGCCTGGATGTATGGGTCGTGTTCATCTTGCTCTCCCTTCTCATGAGGGACTTTGGCCCATAAAGAGGCCTCCACTAGTCAAAGTTCAGGTACTGCCCCTGCCTGGGCATGGAGCTCACAGGGATCAGCTGGGGGCTGGACCAGTTGTGATCTTGAGGCCTGGAAAAATCAGATGTGTGACTCTGGTCCCAGGTGGAAGTGTGGAGAAGGTAGGGCAAGGGGTATCTTACTCTGTCTCCTTCATCTTTCCACCATAGACTAAGGGACACAGGTACTGCTGTCTACAACACCAACCATGGAGCTTCATGTGGAACGGCCACTGCTGAACCAGGAGCAACTGGAGCAGCTGGGGCACTGGGGCCCAGCACCTAGGACTCATCAGTGGCGAACCTGGTTTCAGTAAGATCAAGGATATGGGTTGGGGACTCTGGCAGGGTTAGGTACCTCTGTCACTGACACATGCCCTTCCTCCTCCCAGGTGTTCCCGTTCTCGGGCCTATGGCCTTCTACTCAAATACTTCCCAGTCTCGGGCTGGTTACCCCACTATCGTGTGCGTGAGTGGCTCCTGGGTGACTTGTTGTCTGGCCTGAGTGTGGCTATCATGCAGCTTCCACAGGGTGAGCCACCTTCCTGGCCATAGCCTAGAAGCCCTATGACCTGAGTCATGACTTCTAAACTTGGAATTATGACCCCTGGCTCAGGGCTTGGATTGCCTCAACCTTTTAAGACTCTTTCCTCCAGGGCTACATTGTTCCCATTCCACCTGCAGGCTTGGCCTATGCCCTTTTGGCTGGATTGCCCCCCGTGTTTGGCCTTTACAGCTCCTTCTACCCTGTCTTCATCTATTTCCTGTTTGGTACTTCCCGACACATCTCTGTGGGTGAGTAGAGTCAGGCCTAGCCTTCCAGGAAGATGCCCATATTTGCCATGGAGCATGTATGAGGGAGGGCTAAACCAGGCAGGCATTCATCTCTGGGCAAGACTTGGCCCTGGTTTAGGACTGCAAATTCAGGGGATTTGATGGCAGATGCAAGTGGGCGGGGCAGCTCAAGGGGCCCAGAACTTGGCACAAGTCTGCAAGTATGAGGCATGCCACAACGCATTTCACATTGCATAAAGAGCCTGTGTTCCTGAGCCACTGGGCATGGGGAGCAGGGTAGGTGAAGCAAGACCAGCTTTTCTAACCATTCATCAGAACTATGGACTCAGGGCTCACATTGGACCCCATTGTACCTAGTTGCCAGCATTGCATCCATTTGCATAGTCGTAGTCTGAACTTTGCAGTCCAGAATTGGATGCTTGACTTCTCTTAAGACCAGGGCTTTAGGGCAGGATAGTGTCCTCTGCAAGGCTGCCTTACCTTGTTCCCTGCAGGGACCTTTGCTATCATGTCTGTGATGGTGGGCAGTGTGACAGAATCCATGGTACCAGATGAAGTCGTCCGGCAGAGCACAAACTCCACTATCAGTGATGAGCGTGTGCAGCTGGCCTCCACGCTTAGTGTCCTGGTAGGCCTTTTCCAGGTATGGAGCAGCTAGGAGTGTGCGCCCTCCCACCCCACTGCCTGGTGACAGATGCATCCATCCTCCTGTTCTTCCTCTTTACTTGTCTCTGATTCCACTTGTCCTGGTCCACTGCTGCCTTCCTTGACTGTCCCTGGCCACCCCACAGGTAGCACTGGGCCTGGTGCAGTTTGGCTTCGTAGTCAACTACCTGTCTGAGCCACTGGTGCGCAGCTACACCACAGCTGCGTCTATCCAGGTGTTTATCTCACAGCTCAAGTATGTGTTTGGCCTCCAGCTGAGCAGCAGCCGCTCAGGACCCCTGTCCCTTATCATGGTGAGTGGGCGTGACGGTGGAGTAGGGAGATGTGCCCATGGCCTTGAGTGAAGGCTGTGACCCTGCTTCTCCTCAGACTCTGGTGGACGTCTGCCGAAACCTTCCTAAGACATCAGTTGGCACCCTTGTCACTGCACTTGTGGCCGGGGTGGCACTCATGATGGTGAAGATATTCAATGAGAAGCTGCATCGGTATCTGCCTCTGCCAGTACCTGGGGAGCTGCTCACGGTTCGCATGCCAGGGAGTAGGGGAGAGGGGCAAGTGAGATGGACCCTGATGAGGTGGGGGAGTAGGGGAGAAGGGCAAGTGAGACAGACCCTGATGATGTGGGTAGCCTCCAGCGTTTAGAGGGCCAGCTGCTGTGGCTACTGTGAGGATTCCTGGGTACTGAGGGGAGCATAATGGGAAGCCCCCATTTGGCTTCTTCCCATCTGACAGCATCTTTCATCAAATGGTAGTGCCTCTCTGCCCTCCCAAGAACTCCTTGTATGCTGGGCATGGTGGCACACACCTGTAACCCCAGCACTTGGGAGGCTGAGGCAGGGGGATCACTGTAAGTTTGAGGTCTGCTTGGGCTACAAAGTGAGTTCAGGGCTAACCTGAACTATATAGCAAAACCTTGTTGCAGAAAGACAAAATATATAAAAAGAACTCTTTACCCCTTGGAAAGTTTTTACCTCAGTGTCTTCCTCTTCTTCTAGAATAACTTGTTTGTCTCCCTCATAACACTAGTACCTCCCTCCTCTGGCTATTTCTTCTTCCCACAGCTCATTGTAGCCACAGGCATCTCCTATGGTGCGAACCTGAACAAGAACTTTAATGTGGACATCGTGGGTTCCATCCCTACAGGGTGAGCTCTAGCCTCTGTCAGACCAGGGCAGGTCAGTGATCCAAGACCAACATGGTCCTTCAACCTCACAGATGTTTCTTCCAGGTTGGTTCCCCCCATGGCACCCAACCCCCAGCTGTTTGCAAAACTGGTGGGAAATGCCTTCGCCATTGCCGTGGTTGGGTTCGCCATTGCCATCTCACTGGGGAAGATCTTCGCCCTGAGACATGGCTACCGGGTGGATAGCAACCAGGTCTACATGGTGTGGGACATGGAGGGGACAATGTGCAGAGGCTCCAGCCAATTAAGGGAGGGAATATCAGGCTGGGTGGAGGGGCTGTGAGGGGAAAAATGGGAAGTAAGGATAGCAGCCCAATCTCAGAGACTGTTGTAGGGACAGCAGAAGATGTTACATCTGCCTGGTCACAGTGGGATGGCAACTGGTACCCCGGCAAGCCTCCTCATACCTGTACTCCCCCACCAGGAGCTGGTAGCCCTCGGCCTCAGTAACTTCATTGGGGGCTTCTTCCAGTGCTTCCCTGTGAGCTGCTCCATGTCCCGAAGCCTGGTACAGGAGACTACTGGGGGCAACACGCAGGTGGGCCATGGGCCTGGGCAGAGAGGTGTATTCACACCTGTGTGCACCCTGCTTTGTCAGTGGTGCCACCTTGCCTCTTCCTGCCCCAGGTTGCTGGAGCAGTCTCTTCCATCTTCATTCTCATCATCATCCTCAAACTTGGGGAACTCTTCCAACACTTGCCCAAGGTGAGCCCAGGCTTCCACACCAGGCTACTGGGCCTTGGTCAGGCTAGGGGCTCTTGTCAGTCTGTCTGGTCTTGGTGAGGTAAGGAAAGAAAGACAAGGTCATGCCCTGGTTTTCAAGGTTGAAATCTTTGGAGTACAATCTGAAGTCCAGGGTCAGGGGTTAGAACTTCCCAGAATTAGATCCAAATTGTCAGGTTGAAGTAGTTAGTCTGTGTCATGCCTGAATGGTTGAGCTTGTCAGAATGTGGGCACTGCTCAGCAGCTCCGATGGCATTCTTCCTATCCCAGGCAGTGCTGGCAGCTATCATTATTGTGAACCTGAAAGGCATGTTGAAGCAATTCTCTGACATATGCTCCCTCTGGAAGACCAATCGAGTTGATCTGGTGAGAGGCCTGAGAACCTGGCAGGAACCCAGGGTGGATGGGTGGCCTTCACCCTAATGGCCCCTCTAAACCCTTTAACCCCTGGTGCTCTGTTTCCAGCTTATCTGGCTGGTGACCTTTGTGGCCACCATCCTGTTGAATCTGGACATTGGCCTGGCCGTTGCAATAGCCTTTTCCCTGCTGCTCGTAGTGGTCCGAACACAGCTGTGAGTCAAACCTTTCGCTTCTTCCACTTCCAGCTGCTGAGGGCGTCGGGGCCCTCCAATGGCTGCTCCCCAGCCATCTCTACCTCAGGGCACATCCTTAGTGTGCCTTCGTGGCTCCCTATGTTTGCCTTCTCCACAGGCCCCGCTACTCCATCCTGGGACAGGTGCCAGACACAGACATTTACCGAGATGTGGCAGAGTATTCGGAGGTGTGCGGCAGGGGCTGAGGGTAGGCGGTTGGCAGGTGTCACAGGTAGAGTGGGACAATCCTTGTCAACCCTTCACTGTAGGAAGGGCATGAGACATTGAGAGCACTTTGGCTTTGATCCTTAGGATTTCAAGGTAGGGGGAGCTGGCCAGAGAGAGGAGAAGATAGAAAACTGGGGAACAGGGGGTGTTCAGTCTTGGAGCCAGCAGCCTGGATCAGGAATATGGAGTGGCAGGGCCTTGGGTCACAACATAAAGGGGAGGCTGTTTCTTGATCTGGTCAGTGGCCTGCTAACTGTCCAGTGTGTTCACTTCCTTTGAAGTCCTGTGCCAAATGCACAAAGGATTGAGTCAGAATTCTGGAATAAAAGAAGCCACTTAGGGCATAATCTTGGTGGCTGAGGGCCTGTTGGTTAGACAGAACAAGGGGTGGACCGAGGGGTCCACGGTGTGAGAGGACATAAGGGGAGCATCCTGGCCTGACGGAGAGGGACACCATGTATCAGCAGAGCCCTGGGCTTCATCCTGAGCTTTGGGACTGGGAAGGTAGGCTTGAGATGACCACCTAGAGAGGCCTTGTTGCCTACAGAAACAGACTACAGGATAGCTTGGAGACCCCAACATGGGGGCGAAACCTGCCTGGCTGGAGACAAAGGGGAGGAGAAGTCGGAAGAGAGGATCTGGACAGTATCCAAACAGAACATGCAATCAGAATGACCTAGGCTCTTGGCCTGAGTTCCAGAAAGAGGGTGGGGATGTCAGGCATGGGGTGCTGTTGGGAGGAAAGGCAGAAGGGGATTCAATAGAGGACAGGAATGAGGGGACAGCTCGGCTCACTACCCTAGCCCTGCCCATCCTCAGGCCAAGGAAGTCCCCGGCGTGAAGGTCTTCCGGTCCTCGGCCACCTTGTACTTTGCCAATGCTGAGCTCTACAGTGATGCGCTGAAGCAGAGGGTGAGGCCAGGGTCTCCTGGAGGGTGCTCGAGGGCCCCTAACTCCCCCAGGGTGACCAGTTCCTTTTGTCTGATGTTTGCCTCTAGTGTGGGGTGGATGTTGACCATCTCCTGGCCCAGAAGAAGAAGCGGCTCAGGAAGCAGGAGCGGAAGCTGAAGCGACAGCGGAAAGACAAACAGGCAAGGTCCCTTTCAGCTGCTGATTGCTGTGCGGCTGTCCACTTCACTCTGTCTTGCTGGTGACCCAGCTGACCTTTGCCCTGACCCCTTCCTCTGGCTCTGCTGTTCTCTGTCCCCTGCCCTGCTGCTTCCCAGCAGCCTTTCTCCCAGCTTCCAGGCCGCTGAATTCTCAGCCCCCCTCCTTGGCCTCCCCTTTCTCAGTTGTCCAGGGCCTGGCCTGGCTCTGCCCAGGTGGTGTTTTGTTGTTCTTCCTCCTGTTCCGGTGACAGCATGCATCATCACCATCCCCTCCATGTCTGTGGCTGCCCCCAGCATCAGCCAGAACTCTGCTGCCATCAGCTTGGCTGCCCTGGGTCTCACAGCATTTGGCCCTGGACCACCTAACTGTCCAGAGTCAGGAGTGATTCTAGGCCTGCCTAGCATGTTGTTAGGTGCAGCTAGGAGAGCTCTTTTTCTCTCTTCTCTTCCCCTGTCTAGGCTGCCCCTTCCAGTGGCACTACGGTTTCTGTCAGCGTGGATGCCAGCCATGGAGACGTCAAGGGCAGTGGTGCGGAGGACTCCAGGGCCCAGGTAAAGTGCAGCAGGAGCCACAGAGATGCGGGTGGCACATGTGCCTGGTGGCCATGGGTTCAAGGGTGTTGTTCTGATTGCTGGAGGAAGGGGAGATGCTGTACGAGGCCTTCTAATTGTGTGGGGCTCTTCTGTGGCTCTCTTGTCTGTGATCTCAGGCTTGGGTGAAGACCTAGAATTTGTAGATGCTACAGAACCCACAGCCTGTGTGCTTTGGGAGTATGGGGTCAGAGAGGATGCTAAGCTCAGCTGGAGATTGAGAGGATGTCTCTGGCTGAGTCTGTGCAGATGGACACCGGTCTGCTGGCTCTGTCCCTGGGCCCCACCCATTCTGCCCTGAGGATGGAACCTTCTCTTCTTGTGCCTCTATTAAGCTTATGCCCAGGAAGGGACAGCACTGTGCGCGTGTCCGTGTGTGCTTTCCTGCGTGTCCTGTGCTTGTTCCTCCTGTCTCTGCATGCATACACGGCTCCCCCATGTCTGTACCTTCCCGTGTCTTCTGCACACCCCCTGTTGTGGTGCTCCACACGTGCTCCTGTCTCTGACGCTGTGTATCCCTCCGAGATGTGTGCACGGCCTGCCTTTGCACCCTTGTGGGCAGCCCTTCCGCACATCTGCCTCCTCTGCAGGTGAGCCCAGCGAACGAGCTGGAGGAAGTGGCAGTCAGCAGGCAGGAAGACGCCAAGGCCGCAGCTGCAACCACGCTGAAGGCTCTAGGCCTGCTGCAGCCAGACTTCCACAGTCTCATCTTGGACCTGGGAGCCCTCTCCTTTGTGGACACCGTGTGCATCAAGAGCCTGAAGAATGTAAGGGGCCACCGCTGCAGGCTCCGCTCTGCCCGTCACTGTCCCTGACAGCCCTCTGAGTCCTCCAGAGCCCTCCCCAGCCTGCCCTGTTGCCCTCTGAGCTCAGCCCCTTTTCTGTTGCAGATTTTCCGGGACTTTCGTGAGATCGAGGTGGAAGTGTATATCGCAGCCTGCCACAGTGCGTTGGCTGGGGCCCGCAGGAGCAGTCTGGGAAGAGGGTGGGATTCTTTGGGCCAGGGAGTTTGCCAGGCAACACAAAGAGAAGGAAGCTGGAGGTCAGAGGTTTCCTGGGAGGCAGGACTGACTGGTATCCCTCTCTAGCCCCAGGGGTGACGGGTGTTGTGCATTCCAAGATGCTTGGGGGTTGGTGTTCCTGGTGGGCCTGAGAGTCAGGGGAGATCTTGCCTGCAGGCCCTGTGGTCACCCAGCTTGAGGCCGGGCAATTCTTTGACGCATCCATCACGAAGCAGCATCTCTTCGTCACTGTCCATGATGCCGTGACTTTTGCCCTCCAACACTCAAGGTCTGGCCCCAACAGCCCTGTTTTGGTAAGCTGACTTCTGGCCCCTGAACTGTTTCTTGTTAACCTGTCAGGTTCCTGCACTGACCCCACTTGCAGGAAGTTCACCCCATCTTCTGTGGCTCTGTTCCCAGTGAACCCATGGTCTCCCCACCCAGCCTCACCCTGCCCTTGGACCAGGCTGTTCCTGGGGCAGGGGGTGCAGCTGGCAGGGTTGGGTGGGAAGGGTGTAATGTGTCCTTTGGAAACTGACTGGAGGCTCCCCTCCTCTGCCCACTCAGGCCACCAAACTCTGACTGCTGCCAGCTGCCCGACCCTGCCCACCTCTGGAGGTTGTGATGGAGCACCCTCGAGAAGCCCCACCCAGGAGTCCCCTCCACGCACATACACATGTAACTCAGGGATGGAGGTACTGGGACTCCAAGCACAGTGTTATCAGCCCAGGCAGGGTGCTACAGTCAGGCTGGCCTGGGCTGCGTGCAGGGAAGAGCCAGTGAGTGTTTCAGGCTCAGGAATAAAGGCGTGTCTGCTCCTTCCAGGCTCTGCTGTGGCTGGTTGGGGCTTGACTGGCGGCTCGTGGTCTACTGCTCTGGCTTATGACCTTCTCGTGCCTCAGGGTGGAGGCTGGGGACCAAAGCTGGGAAGGGGGATTTGGAGACAGCCGGGTCAGGCAGGGAGTGGGCGGAGCGGGGGAGCTGGAGGCCGTCCCCAGCTCTGGTTTCTCCCCAGCCACACAGAGGCTCTCAGATCCTGGCTGGAAGACGTTGCCCTGCCAGCTGCTTCTCAGGAATCTCCTGTTCTCAGGGACACTTAGTAGGTGGCACAGCAGGGTGGATGCCACTGGGCAGGCCCTGGGTGTGTGGAGTGGACCTCTAGCACACGGTTGAGGAAGAACAGCTGCTTACTGTTTCCGCTGATCTGCTTTTAAATAAGAGTACCAGGCGTGGGGGTGCAGGCCTGTAATCAAAGCACTCAGGAGGCAGAGGCAGGAGGGTTGTGGTGAGTTTGAGGCCAGCCTGAACTACATCTCAAGAGCGTGTCTTTAAAAGAACAAATGTGGCTGATTGCCTGCTCTTATAATTAGATCTCTCAGTTTGGCGGAGCACTGTCAGCCAAGAAGCATGTGCTGGCTCCTGCCATAAAATGCCACCATCAACTGGTAGGGGGCTTCGCCCAGCTGAGGGAGACGTGGAGGCATGCGAGCATCTCTCTGGGCCTCACCTCCTGGGCCGCCTCACCTCCTGGGCTGCCTCACCTCCTGGGCCGCCTCACCTCCTGGCCAGGGATGGAGGCAGAGTAGAAGTAAGTAGTAGTAAGTTCTTCAGGCTCTTGCCTCCGGGGCTGCTCAGTGAATGTCAAGTGAGCAGACTCCCCGAGATACTTAGAACAGGGCAGGGCGCAGGTCACCTGTTCAGGACGTGTGGGCTTTGCCTCTGGCCTGTCCAGGCAGGGCCGGGCCCTGGGCTGAGTGCTGCTCTTAGTCCTGACAGAGGCAGAGGCTGCCTTGCCCTCCACACCACCCAGGCACTCTTGCCCAGTCCTGTTTTTATCGTGGCCCAAGCAGGTGCCTGGCACCATGTTTATAAAGCACCTGCTGCCCCCAGAACCCACAGCTCTTCGTCTGCCCTGTCACGTTGCTTTCTGGCACCAGGAACAAGCGCTCAGTAAATATTGGTTGAATGAAACCTGCAGGCTAGAGTGGGAGGCAGACCTCAAACAAGGAGTCAGAAAGGCAGAGGAAACAATGCAGGGTCATTTTAGAGAGAAGGCGCTCTGTTACCCAATGTGGTCATGGGACAGAGGCTCAGGGAGGTGGTGACACTTGAAAGGAAACTCCAGCTGTGAGAAAGTGACTTTCTGGAAGGGGCAGCATGAATCTCCAGGCTTTGCTTATTTGTATCTATGTATTTTTTAAGTTCCAGAGATTGACCCAGGGCCTTTGCACTAAGCTATAGCCCAGACCACAAGGTCTCACTGCATAGTTCAGGCTGGTCTGAACTCAATATGTAGCCCAGGCTGGCCTCAAACACTGTGGCAGTCCTCCTGCCTCAGCCTCCCTAGTGCTGGAGTTACAGATGTGCACCACCACATCTGGTTCTTTTTTATTTTCAAATGTTGAGGCAGGGCCCAGCTAAGTTGTCCAGGCCGGGCTTGATGAGATCCTGTGCCTCAGTCTCCCAGTGTTGGGCTCCAGGCACATGTGGCTTTGCCTGATAGTGAGAGGAGCCATTGTTCTGAGTGCTGACTCTGCAAGGTGGCCAGAGGGACTGGGTGGGTGCCAGGCTGTGGGGCTGCCCAGTTGTCCTCTGCTTGGTAGGCCCAGCACAGAGCAGCAGGCCTCCAGGGTTATGGCGCTGTTAGCCTTTCAGGTGGATAGGGTGAGGCAGAGGTTGAGGAATGAAGCACTCCTTCAAGACGTGCCATTCTTTCCCAGCCCTGGAACTCAGGCCCTGACTCCCCTTTTCTGGCTGGGCCTCCCCTCAGGAAGGCCCTGGGCCCAGCTGGAGCCTGCAGCCTCAGAGCAGGGCCTGCTCTTGGGGGAGGGGTGTTTGCTCGTTGCCAAGCGACGGAGTTCCGGCCCCTGGCAGTGGCCACAGATATGCTGCAGGCCGTGTCTCTACTTCCCTTGCTGCTCCTGCTGGCAAAGCCTGCTCCTACCCTTGCCTGGTCACGGCCCCTCTGGTACCAGTTGAAGCTGGACTTACATCCCTGGGCATGCGAGCCAAGCAGCCCAGAGGCCTGTGGGAGCACCCTGGGCTGTGTTGGTCATTGGACAGGCCTGGGAGGGAACCGCATGTACCC